GTTAGTTTTACATATTTTTGAATGGCCGAACTGATCAATTCACCTTTCCTTGTAGGGAATTGGCACCCAGGTGGTGTAAGCGGTAGCAAACTGCCCGGAAAGCTAGAGAGCGGGTTCAATCCCCGCATGGGCGGATGGATTCGCCTAGGACCCGGCACTCTTGCAAAGGAATAAATACAGATAAACTGTGCTAGGGTCTCCCTAGATAATATCAGAATATCAGCAGCGGTATTCAACAGCGTTTTGCAGCAAAGTATGCTTCCTTTGAAGAAAGTATCACCTTATCGTACACCCGATATAATGAACGCTGTAGTAGGACAGTTGATACTGGGTGTTGAAGCACTATTTATAATTTGAAGAGCAATTCAAAAGATCTCTCCTCCCACATTTCGAGCTAAAAAATACACTCAACACCTCTCATTCTTTTTCACATAGCTTTGTCCATCACAGCCGCCAATAGCGATGAGCCTGTCGCCACTAGCAGCAAGACCGAATGAAGACCTGCAGAAGAAGTAATCATTAGGAAGTATTACCACTTCAAAAAGTGCCGTACCTTCTGTTGCTCATGGGAGTCGCGCGTACCCACCTAGGATTCGGTACTCGGAGATCGAGAAGTTCCACGGATGCGGTAGCTCTTCCATTGACTGCTCCCCCTACTGAACAATATATGTATGAATCAAAAGTGATAACATCCTTTTTCTTATAAACCGCTAACTTGGTGTGTCGGTTTGTATGTATGTCTGTATGTATGTATGTGTGTGTGTCCGTCCGCAAAATGAAGTGAGTGAGAAGGAAGCTCATGGGATAAACAAACCGCTAACAAATCGGGTAGCTTACAGGATTTGAGATATCAATGTTTTGTAGCAGGATAGTTGTGATAACACTCTTAGGGCTATATAAAGCGCCTTAACGAGCATAGTTCCGGTCATTCCTCATGGTGCTGCTGTTGCAGCTGGAGGGCACTGGAGGGGAGAGGAAGGGAGGATGGGGAGGGAAGGCGGAAAGTCCACCATCATGTTATGATTATGGCGATGCCCTCTACTATATGGGACTCCTTTTTGTAGCATACGCGTCACCTCCGCGAGGTGTTGGTGTCACAGGTGGAAGGGTATAGCGGAAGACGTAAAGTTTACGCAGGGAAGGAGGATTCCGGCAGTTGATGGGGGACAGCCAGGTTATAACTAAATCGCTCAGCTGATAAATGAGTTATTCTCGTTAGGATCAGTCCGCCCTTCAGAATTTTAGTGGGCTGGAATATGGTGAATCTCGTAGAAGCAGTTCAGTGCCATCGTTCCATGATTGTTCTATAGCTGTGACCCCAAGCCCTGGTTGTTAAGCCCTCTAATTCGGTTCTCCAATCGATATACATGGGAGGTACACATGGATCAAAGACAAACTGGCATAGCTCAGTAACCCTTCGTCCGTTCAGAGTCAAGTACACCTCCAACCAGCTTCCCATCTTGACCTTGATATACTCTTCATACATGACTAGATCTGAAAACCTAACTTTATGAAGAAATACAGGAGGCTACAAAGTATGGTCCGATAATCAGCCGCTCATGAAAAATAAATCAGAACATATTTTATAGGGAAATTTCACCACTTAATAGACATTCACGAAAAAAAAACTACGCGATTTCTGATGCTGTTTTTGGCCACAATTCGCCTTGCAAAACTTTCACAAGAATGCTGGGTTGTCATCAAAACTTTTGCTCTAGACAGGACTCGCTAGAAGTTACCCACTTGCTCGGAAAAGGCTCGAGTCCCGTCTGGACCGAAAGTTTTGTTCACAACCCAGCGTTCTTCTAAAACTATGCATAGTATTACGCCAAATAGTCGCCTTCAGTCGGAACACCAACTTCTAATCTCTCAGTGAACGCTACCATGGTTGGCAGCAGGAAGCTGACATAAAATATCTGCCATTTTCTCTGAAACGCTGCCTGCTGTGATGGAAGAGAAAGGCAAGTCCTGATGTAGATAGCTCCATACAAATACTCCGTTAGTTTAGGTGAAGTCAATTAGATGGCTACATATTCACACAAGCTAAAGAATTGACGCTGGCGCAACGCTTCCAAAAGCCTATCTGGCCACTGCGATATTTCAGAAGAGGCGCATGACTGGCATGCTTTTTCAAGGTGAACGCAGCACAGGTTGAAGGAGCACTCATTGTTTATCATCCCTCTATACACAGTATGTTTTATAATTATAAGGTCACCCTAGAATATTGCATTTCCTGGAACCAGCAGCCAACTGGTGATTTTTCCACTATCACCAAATGATTCCCCACTATGAATAACCCCTGTATCGCAATTTTGGTGGGAGCAGCTTTTCTTCGAACTTTTATAATCATTTTTTTGTTTTTGCACCGTTTCATAATTATAAGATCACCCATCGAAAAAGAGCAACTACTTAACTTACTGATCACTTATAAATAGAAACCTTTTTTAGATGTTCAGATCTTGCGGAATATGTATCTGGAGACAGGAATTTTTAATTAACTATGAAAAGATCAAAAGACGTTCCGGACTGCTTTGCAAAGGCTCACGAACCGTGACGAGCATCACGTAACGCGTAAACATAGCCTTTTCTTCAAAAGACGAATACGAAACATTCCATAAATTTAGCTAATGGATGTGTTTGTAACAAATATTCAGTTTCACAGCAGGTTGGTTGTTTTGATAATGTGTATTCATTTGTTTCATTTTCAGGGTGACCTTATAATTATGAAACGGTGCAAAAACCGAAAAATAATTATAAAAAGTTAAAGAAAAGCTGCTCCCGCCAAAATTGCGATACAGGGGTTATTCATAGTGAGGAATCAGCTGGTAATAGTAGAAAAATTACCAGTCTGCTGCTTGCTCCAAATGCAAAATTTTGGGGTGACCTTATAGTATGAAACGCACTGTGTAATGAATCATGCCTGCCTGTCTGTTTGTCCGTCTGTCACGAAATCGGGTACTACCTGAAGAACTACCTACAGAGTCCGGGCCAAGTTTGGGATGGGTGGGGCATGGGTAAAGAAGTACGAAACACATATCAGCTGGGTGGAGCACGGCCCACATAGAGCGGGGCACGCGCCGTCTTGGGCGATGCCGACGGCAAAAGCTTAGAGTACGGTTATAGAAGAGCGCGAAGACCGGGAAAAATGGATAAAGGTGTGCACTGAGTTGATAAGTCCAATTAGGGAGAATTGCCCCGGTGGCGGAGCGTTCTCTAAATAGGCGGTGCTTAATAGAAAAATTCATAACTCGGTCAGGGGAAAGCCAATGGAGCAGGAAAAGATAGTTTTAGAGGAGCAATAGCTACGGTATTCTCAGCATACCTGAACTGAGCAGACGCCCACAGTAGGTAGAGCGTGTTCCTAAGTTGGCAGTGTTCATTCTGAATCCTCATAGTTCGGTTCAGAAAAGTCCCAAAAATCGGGTAAAAAAGTGGGTAGAAGTTAGAGAAGGAGCGAAGGTCAAGTGTTGACGAGGGATGGTGCGTGCATTGGCATGAGCGGAGTCATCCACGAAACTTTATAGTTCGGTTCCGAGAAATCCCGGAAACCATGAGAAAAGTGGATAGAGTCTGACAGCGGAAAGAAGGTCAACACTATAGAGTGTGGGGCGTGTACCGGAATGGGCGGAGTTATCCCTAAAGCATTATAACTCAATTTCAAGAAGTCCTAGACATCGGAAAAAAGTGGATAAGGTCAGAGAAGGAGGAAGGGTCGAATGTTGGTGGTGGACCTGCCGTGAGCCAATAAGAGCACAGTTTACCACCAAAAGGGCGGAAGTGGTGTAGTGACAAGTGGCACGCTTACCACGCGAGCGGTCCGGGGATCAAATCCTGGGTCGTGAGTCGCCCGGGCCAACCAAGCCTTCCATCCCTCCGGGGTCGGTTAATTGGTACCAGACTTGTCTGGGAGGATAAAAACACTGACTTGTACATCGGCTGGCCCCCGCAAGTCATTGTATAGGCCACATCGCATTCAAACGCCACTACGAATGTACAAATGGAAGTAGAATGCGTGCCGCATCCCAAAAAGGGATTGATCAACGGCAAATGCTTTATCCTTTTATACCACCAAATCATATTCACTTCCAAGAGTCTCGGAGGACCAGGAAAAATGGATGTGGGATGTAGGCGAAGTAAGGGAGGTCAAATGCTATGTAGGTGGTTGGCACTGTGAAGTGAGCGGAATTGCCACGAAGCTCTATGAAAATATCGATGGCTCTGTTTTCATGCCATTACAGCCCCGCGTCATGCGCAGCCAAACTTGTGTCATATACAAATTCGCGGACCACACTTTCCAGTTGGTGCGCTGTGTGCATAAGAAAACTCAAAACTGCTGCACATATTGACTCACCAACGTATAATACCTTTTTACATTTGAAAGGTACGCGCGGTCGAATGCGAGGTGCTTCTACGTTTGGTCGTTCAAGTGTAAAACAGTTGCAGAAGTAAGTG